GGGGCGGATACAAACAGCATGTCAGTGACGCCACCGACGCCACATCACCTTAATCCAGAAAGCCCAGTCGCTAAGAGGCTCATAGGGTTTGCCAATATCACATAGTGTGTTGTATATCTTACGGTGAGATTAAAGGTCACAGTCCAAGTGCCCACGGGCTGCTTGGGATCAATGCCAATGGTCCAATGAGAGCCCGGTTCCTGGGACGGTGGACACGCCATCCATGGATAGAGCGCAGATCCACCGGTATTACCACGGTTGGAGGTGACCAATAGGGAATTAATTTAAAATTGATAGTGTAGAGTGTAATTTTAAAGCGAAATTGGAGGAAATGAGTTAATTACCTTGGTCTCCATCTCCTCTGCTCTCTTTCCTTCTTCAAGCTGGCATCTCTTGACTACTTCTTCTTCTTTTCTTCTCTGTGAGAAGCCATACGTTCCTTCCTTGCGAATTGATTTCGCATCTTGCTCTGTCGCTCTTTCTTCAGACACACACTCACTTACACACACACTCGCTAACTTTGCTTTGCATTCTTGCTTTTGACATCTCTCGTCTTACCCCTCCACTTTTTCATTGACATCCACCGTCGTACCAATAACTTCATCATGGTTGTCTTGAACAAGTTCTCCGTTGCCCTTGTGGCTGCTCTGGCTGCCGTGGGTCAGGCCACTCACGAGGGTCTCCATGCTCGTCGCATCGTGGCTCGCTCGCTTGCCCCTGTCTCCGAGGCCTCTACGGCTTCTACCTCGACCGTCCTCGTTGTGCCTACTCCTGTCGAGCCAGTTCCTGAGGCTACTTCGACTGCCGCGTCTGCTCCCGCTGAGGAGACCTCCGCCGTGGAGTCCTCCTCTGCCGTGGCGTCTTCTGCCCCTAGCTCCATTCCTTCTGTTGCTTCGTCTGTCGTTGCCCCGTCTGTCGTGGCTCCGTCTGTCGTTGCCCCGTCGGTCGTTGCTCCGTCGGTCGTTGCTCCGTCGGTCGTTGCCTCCTCTTCGGTCGTTTCGGCCCCTGAGGTGAGCTCCGTGAGCTCTGTGCCCGTTTTCTCCAGCAAGCCTGTGGTCACCCGCACTCCCATCAGCTCTCGCCCTGGTCGTCCCACCAAGTCTTCCGATGCCCTGTCCAGCACCGTGTCTGCTCCTGCTGGCACTTCCGCCCCTGGTGAGGCTGTCACTGTGACTTACACCGTGACCTCTGGCGCCTCGACTAGCGTCATCACCACCACCATCTACAAGACCGCCACTGACCAGTACACCATCACTGCCGTATGTGTTAGATCTGATATCTTATGCTTGGTACTTGTGAACTAACTTTGATATAGACCGAGTCTGGCGCTGATGCCGCTGCCACTAACTCTGCTGATGCCTCCGCCACCAACTCCGCTGGTGCCTCGGTCACTAACCCCGCTGAGGACACCACCTCCACTCGGACCTCCACTATCAACAGCACCAAGACCAAGACTGTCACTCTCATCGAGATCCCCGCTTCCACCAGTGCTGCCAGCAGTGGCTCTGATTCCAGCAGCGGCTCTGGTTCCGGCAGTGGTTCCGGCAGTGGCTCCGGTGCTTGCTCCGCCGTTACCGTTACCGCTACTGTCACTGAAACCGTGACTGCTGTATGTGCTGCTCATTCCCCTATCTTACACGTCAAATATTAACATTATTCTAGGGCGCTGTCGAGACCCAGTCCGCCGGCAATGGCAACGGTGAGGGCGCACAGAGCACCTCGACTGAGGCCGCTGCTTCCACCGAGACCGCCTCGGTTTCCACCACCCGCACTTACACTGCATCCACCCGCGTTCCCATCACCCGCACTCCTACTCCTTCCAGCGGCTTCGCTACCCGTACTCCTACTGCCAGCGCAACCGTCAAGCCTACTACTTATCCCTCGGCCACCAGCACCCCCACTGGCGAGACTTTCTTGTCCAACCTGCGCCGCTACTTCTTCTAAACAACACTGCTGATGTGAGGGGGGTTTCCACCTCCACATGGCAGCGAGTTGCGAGCCTATCGATGGTCTGAGAGAAAGTTCCGATTCCCTTCTACTCGCGCAGAGGCGTGCTGGTACTGTACCTATTTTTTGCCAAGTTCCGGTACAAACGGATTCAATTTCACTTCTTATTTACGCTCCATTTTTTGCCATGTTTCTTCTTTTTGACTTCTATTCTTGCAATGGTCTTGTCATGCTGGATTTTGCATTGGCCCAAGTTTTCCCTGCTTGTTACGTTTTGCAGGCATCTTCAATTCGGACTGCGGTGCCAATCTTCCAACCTCATGACATTTCCTTGCGTTACATTTTTACTCTCCAATGTGAAATTGACCCATTCATATGACCGGTTTCCATTGGACTCGGAACATTTTCTCACGTATCGTTATGATGGGTGGTGACACGTCTGTTTTATGGACTGGATCTTGCCTCTTTTCTCTTGTGTTAATGGAAAATTCATCTTCTTCAATCTTTCCACATTTCATTTGCGAATGATCTCATAGTTCTGTTTTTAGTCTTCATGTTTTTCTTTCCACGTGGAAGGCCGATATCGGTATCCTTAGGACAGTACCTGAATTGACAAGGCTTTGCCTGTTTACGAAATGATCACTACTCCCTTTAATAATTTGGCGATCAGTAGAAATAGAGTGAGGCTGTTCATCCTGGAGAGTTAGTAAGGCTGGCCTGTGGATCAATGTCGATCTTCTTGCGCTGGCAGGAACAACACATAGTTGACGTCGACATACAGTCTACGGAGTAGGATCGTGTCATTCGTCCATTTTAGAGTATTAATGTACGTCAAGTAGGATAATATACAAAATTCGAACACCAACTTCATCCCTAGAGGAGCTCAAGGCATCGCCCGTCGTCACCACCCAGCTTGGCTCCGCTCAGAATGGACACTGACATGTTTCATGGTATCGAATCCAACACCTTAACCCCTTCCCTGGCAAGCCTCTCCCGCATAATTTGCCATTCAACCCACGTCACACCCTGCAACAAACAATCCGCCAGATCATCGAGTTTCCCCAGATCAACAGCCGCCACCTCGTCCCCCGTATCAGACAAAGGGGATCCAGGCAATGGAGAAAGAGATCCACTCTTCAAAGCCCGAGACCCCTTCCCTTTCCCCTTCTTCGACGCCTGCGTCTGGCCCTGCCATTTCCGCAGATACGCACCCGCAACAGCATGCAGAGCAGGACACTCCGATTTATCCGCGAGCACGATCTTATTATCAGTAGCAGTACCCAGCTCCAGTTCCTTAAGACCGCCGTCCGAGTCTGGAGAAGAATTAGTATTCTGCATCGCAGCAGAAAGCCACCGTCCAACAAGATCGATCTTAGCCTTCTTCACTTCCCGCGCATTGGGTTTCTTTTCCTTCATCTTTTCCCCGACTTCTGATTTCTCCCCTGCGTCTCCTTTTCCCAGAACTGACGAACCTTCAAGCCAATACCTGACTACCCGCCTCGGCTCAACACCCCGAATAACCAAATCAGCGATATCCCCGCCCCTCTCCTGTCGCAGCGTATGGAGAACAGTATATAACATACCTTCCAGCACGCCAACGCGCAGCGTCCATTCAAGCACCGCACTCCCGCCGCCCGAGCGGAAGCGCTGGCGCTCAATGAGCACGTGAGTGGGGCGGTATGCAGCGATAAGTGACGAGATGAGGGTGTACGCATATGCAGCGTAGACGTCCGGGGCGAAGGCGTCCTTTTCCTTTTCTTTTTCCTTCTTTTTCGTAATTGATTTGGCGATCTTGCCGGGTAGGGTCTTTTCCGTAGCGTCAGCGTCAGCGTCACCCAATCCCGGTGTTGGTGTTGGTGTTGGTTGGATCACACCGGTCTTAGCCCCCGGTACGAGGTTCAGAGTTGATATCTCAGAAATTGCGAGTCGGTGCCAGGCTGTCAGCTCCGGGGGTTGGAGGTGGGTTGTTGCTGCGTCACCTGGAGCTGGACCTGGGACCCCGGAGCCTCCGGAGCGGGGCACGCGCAGATGCGCGAATGCGAGGTTCTGGATCCCCATGTCGATGCTGAGGATGCTCCATGGCTGGGATTGAGCGGGATTTGATTTCGACGAGTCGGCTGACTTGGTGCTGGGATTTGTCTTGCTTAGGGGCGTTTTTGGGGGATCTAGCCGTCGATCGACCTGTCGATCTTGGTTTAGGCTGGTGTTGGTGTCGGTGCTGGCAGCACTGGGACTGGGACTGGGACTGGGCCTTGGAATCCTAGTGATACCCTCTGCAACGCCATCCACGGCAGCCGGCAGCTGCACCTGCACCTGTGACTGCGCCTGCGCCTGTGACTGTGACTGTGAATGCAACGTCAACTCCGCTGCAATGCGCTCAATGAGAACACCCTTCGTACCGGACGATTGGATGCCCGTTGAGCGCGCGATACGCTGCAATTGTGCTGATTTCAAGCATGCGAGCCAAGGGTACGTTGGGGAGTACAGCGCTGCAGAGAGACGCATTTGGGGGCTTGTTTGTACTTGTTGCTTGCTAAGGGTGGCATTTGGTGGGGCGGGGTCTGGGCTCCTGGTACGAGGTGAATCTCAAATTCCTGTAACGGCAGTTTTAGGCTGGATGCATGGACATTTTTGGGAAATGGATTCTTTGAGGTGGATGGGTGCTGATCGGTGCACGGACCGTCGACGCTCACGGCTACCGTGGCACTGGGTCGGATTGAGTTTGATTTTCGTTATTTCCAAGGTTCTTTTGAAGTTTAGTTGCGATAGAGTAGACTGTCATTTCTTAGGTAGACCTCTACTATGTTGTAGTAGCTGATAATAACAAGTAGAATTATATGCGCCTTCTATTTCCCAGACGAAATATAACACCGAGATACCCTTGTGTCAGTAGAACACCTGGTGTGAATAATAAAACTCCCCCATAAGAAGCAGTAAATGCGCGCTGAAAAGCCAAGTCAAACAAAACACTTGCGAAGACAGCAAGGCAATAAACAACCGACACCAAAAATCCTCCAAAACAAAAGTAAAGAACAAAACCAAGCAAGAACAAATTATACGAATGCTGGCTGCTCAAGCTCGGTCATTGCAATCTCATCTCGGAGATACAACAACGGAGCCCAAACACGCCAGTGCAGCACACCCAAATGAGCAAGACGTACCCCAATACGCTCGACATCCGACTGCTGCGGCGTCAAAGCCAGCGAAGAAGTATTGTTCACTGACCCAGACGCAGCCACAGTCCCAGTCTGAGGCACAGTAGTACCCAGAGCGGCAGACACTGGAGCCCGCTGCGACTCACAGATCGCCAACGGCGAAAGCGGCAAGTATCGACGAGCCGCTGCTATCGTGCTAGCAAGGATCTTGCCACGCATGCTATTTTGGAAGAAAACGAAGAGCTCGGACTCATTCGAGAGATGCCACTCGAGCGCTTCCTCGATAGGAACGATGACCTCGTCCGTGACGACGGGGTCGAGCTGCAGCGCGGCACAGGCAAAGCGGGCAATCTCCAGAGCGATACAGCGCATATTTTGCGTCCAGCGCTTTCCGCCGCGGTGGTCGGGATCGTCCTCGTTGTTATCTGGGTTGCTTGCGATGCGGTTTTCCAGGTCCATACCGTTTTCCATTAGGGACCAGATGCGCGACCGGAAGGTGGAGTAGGTTTCTTCTGGGGTGGAGAGGTAACGCTTGTGCTTGTTGATGTAGGACTCGAAGATGTACCAGGCGATGTCGAGGTTGATTAGATTTTGGACGGTTGAGCGGAGCTGCCAGAGGCGCTCGGAGTCGAAGAGGAAGGTTTCGGGGAAGTCGGCGGGAGGGGCGAATTGGAGCAGTTGGGCGGAGATTCCGCGGAACAGAGCTTCGAGGGGTTTGAGATTGCTTTCCGTTTCTGGAGTTGGGGTTGTATTTTGGGCCTCCGCATCTGCATCGTCTTGACGGGCTTGGTCACGCACGGATATGTACCAGTGCCGGGCGGATTCAACCTGGAAGCCGCCGCGATTCATTTTGCCTTGGAAGTATTCTTGGAGGAAGGGGACTGTGTCTTCGATGAGGAGAACGCGGAATGCTCGGATTTGATGATTGGCGACGTCCTATCAAGTCACGAATTAGTTAACGTCGCAAGAACGGAGGGATTTGAATGTGACATACCAACTTCATCGCCTCTAGAATAGAGAACAATGTTCGCAGACCGTTAACAATCTCATGGGGATCCTGAGACTCTGAACCCTTTTGAATTTGATCGACCATAGAATCTGCCCACTCGTCTCGCATCGGAGCACAATGTGTTTTTAGTAGTTTCGCCAGCCACCGAGCTAGCGTAAGCATGTCGAGAACGCCTTTGCGTATTTGCTGCATCAGCAATGGAACCTCCAGGTTTTGCATGATAGTTGGGTGATCCCGTTCCGGAACAAGGGTCTTGATGACATCCTGCAATGTCTCAAACAGGGCGGGTAAACGAGGATCGAAGGCGTGTCGGGTACCATCACTTGATTCGATTTTCTCGGTGGCACCGGCAGTCGCGGCGTGGTAAGAGTAAATAGTAATCTCCGCGGCCAAGGCGTCCCAATAATCCGCAGCTTCTTTCCGCTTGCGTTGGCCCTTCTCCCCGTCTAGGTCAGGCTTGAAGTGCAGGTCGCGGTCGAAGTTGGCGTCCATGCGGAGGTTAATGTTGCTCATGATACAGGGCAGATCAAGCTCGCTGAGCGTTTTCTTCGTGACCGGCGGATATCTCCGAGCCTTGCGCAATAGGCGCTGTTCGCGGGGATCTAGTCCCAAATCTTGGGGTATACTGATAGCCTCCGGTGACGGGGAAGGCTCTCGGGGCCGAGAGACAGCGGCTGGTACCGGTGAAGCAGATTGTTGAGCCGCATGAGGATAAGCGAAGGGCTGTTGACGACGACGGAGAGGATGGATGGAGGGTCGGTCGTCATGATTGTGAGAATCTCGCCCCTCGTTCTTGTGATACTCTTTAGAACGACCATTTCCCGCACCATACGCCTCTAGAGGGCCTTCTGCGCCCTCCTCCTGGGTCCGGGCTTCTTTTGTGCCTTGTAGATCCATAGTTAAGCACGATATATCTGAACCTCCCTACTCAGACAGTCAGATAAAAGGAAGATTTCAGGGTGGCAATGGCGAGACCACGCCATGCACCTAACCACAGAACAAGGCGAGTACGCCCCTATGGAACTCCTACAACTCACAAATTTAATAGGCCCCTTTTTGCCTCAGGCAGGCAGCCAATCCGCATTCACCGAAAAAGTGATGCAAGTGAGCTGTCAATTCCTGTGGAGCCAAGGATTGCTTGGATCTGCGTCGATCGCCTCGTGGTTCCGATCAGGGGGGAGAAGGTCAAAAAGGGGTGGAGATTAGAACGTTTGAAACAACAAAAGGGTAAGGAGTATAAGAATCCGAATAAAAGAGAATATAATCTTCCAAAACAAAGAGTTGTAGAGTATGAAACGGGGCTCCGGTAGCAGCAAACCTGGGTGGGGACTCCAGTGTATACTCTAGGGCAGACAAATCCAAATTGTCTCGAGAGAGCACAAGGATGCAGGACAAATGGACAAATCAAAGGAAAAAAGTAAATAAAGCAAAGGAGTTGGCAAAGCGACCGGGATGAACTGATATAGCGAGTGTATCCCAGATCGACAACCGGATTCGGGTGGACGCAAGCAGACATTCCCTTCTGCTGCTACCCGCGAGCAGACTCTCGACTACCTGGGAGATCTCAACTGTCACATCTTTCCATTTCCGATTTGAACTTGCATCTGCATTTGATGTTGCTTTTGGGAAAAAAAGGGGGTACTCGCCTCACTTTGAACTTTGAAACCAGTGCTGGCCACGTGAGGGTGAATCTCCTTTTCTCGGGGAACCACTGGATGCAGTCGAGTTGCGCATTACCAGGTACATAGCACCCTCCAGCTTGGCAGAGAAGTACTCAGAGAAGGGTTCACAGATCATCGAGGAGAGATGAAGCAGGGCCTCTGGTTGGGATCGGAATGTTTTTGGACGTGAGTGCCTTGGTGCCTTATAGACTTGATGCCTGATAAACAAGGCCCTATATCCCTTGAGACAGCCCTATTCTACTTCTACCTCACCACTTAACTTCCACCAATTAAGCTTCGCGTTTAGCTCAGATCTAAACAAAATTACTGTGATTCAGGAGGCATCCAATGTTTGTAGACGGATATGAGCTCCGTCAAGCACCCAAGTCCACTGGTCATGTCTTTGGCCTCAATAACCCCGCTGGCTTATTGACACCCAAATCTGGCTCAACAACGGCCTGCTCAATAGCTCAATAAGAACCATGTCTGACAAGAAATTAATAAAAAGGAAACATGATCTCCACGTGGAATCTTGTCTGCATGAGCATCCCAGATCTTTACTTGGCAGTATCATCTCGATTATCTTCAAGGCGCGCGAAGCACCGCCAATTCCAATCATGAATATTTCCGCACTACTCTACTTCTTTCAGATCCTATGGGCAGCTCCTGGGTTTGTCCGTTCGCGAGGAATCGGTTCATACAATACTTCACGATTTGAAGTACATACCTTACCGGGCGTTTCGGACCTACCATCCAGCTGGGCTGGTCGCCTTCCGGTTCCGGGGACAGAGGATGGAAATGAGATCTTTTTCTGGCTATTTCAATCAGAGCAGCCGGCATATGATGACAATCTGATCAGTAAGTCTGATTGGAGGGACATTCAAAGGCGATGGTTAACAGGGCTGTATAGTTTGGTTCAATGGCGGCCCTGGCTGCTCATCCTTGATAGGTCTGACGACCGGCAATGGACCCATTTCCTTCGATGGCAATTCAACTCGATTTATTCGCAATCCACACTCATGGACAAAGCTAGGCAATGTGCTTTACGTTGATCAACCCGTCGGCACTGGCTACTCCACGGCCAGCTTCCCATACCCGGTTAAGGACAATGTTCGGGTAACGACAGACTTTACGCAGTGGTTGCGTGGCTTCTTCGAATATTTCCCGCAACTGCAGTCAAAGCAGATTCATCTGATGGGGGAGTCATATGCGGGCATCTACATACCCTATTTCGCATCGGAGCTTCTCGACGGAAACAATTCCCTGCCTCTCAATGTGCGTTCTATGTCTCTGGGTGATGGATCCTGGGGGAATGGAGCAGCCATGGCGGACGTTGCAATGGGTAAATATCTCAGGTCACAGTTGGGCTTCCTCCAGATCCCTGAAGATGTTCTATCTGTCTTCGACGAAGCCGATAAAACCTGCGGCTTCAACGACGTGCTAGCAAAATCCGCCGTATACCCTCCCCTGAGTAAAATACATATCCCCGGAAACCCAGAATACTTCAACCTCCGACGTCGAGACTTGACAAATGCCGTCAACGCGACATGCGACATCTCACCCAAAACCTGCGAAGAAGTCCACACATCAATCTTCAACTCAGCCTGCTACGGGCCCTGCGCCGTCTTCTCTACAGCAAGTGACTACCTGACAGCCGTATCCACCAACCGGAAAATCCGCGGCTGCTTCGACATCTACGATATTTCCCACGACTGCAGCGCCGTTTCGGAGCTCCCACTAATGGCAGAGTACTTCGGCCGCGCAGATGTCCAGGCCGCACTCCACGTCGATAATAGCGGACTCTACAGCGCCTGCAACTCCACAATTCTGGGCAGGCTACTATCAGTGCCCTCCCCCGTGCCGCCGGAGTACTTCATCCTCCCATCTCTGATTACTGACCACAATATCTCGCTCCATATCTACTCGGGCGAGTGGGACATGATGATAAATCACTTTGGCGCGGAACTCTCGCTACAGAATATGACGTGGGGAGGTGCGCAGGGCTTCGCGCAGAAGCCGGTGAAGCCTTTCTTTGCGGATAATGCCGCGCCGTCGGCGACCAAGCAGCTCCTGCTCCAGCATACACCGGTGGCTACTACGTTATCGACTACAACCCCGACTGCTGCTGCTGCGGGTACATGGGCTATGGAGCGTGGTGTTTCGTATCACTTATTCCGTGGCGCTGGTCATAGTGTCTTTGTGAATAAGCCGCGCGAGATGTTTTCCTTTGTGAGGGATGTGGTTGTTGCTCCGAGGGCTGGCTGATTATAGGGACCTCGGGGGTTTGGGACTGGCGCATCTTGGGTTCTGGAGTTATCAAAATTAGGTTGTGATATGGATTTTTTAGAAAACTTTTTATTTCAAAAATCTAGGGCAGTCGGACTTGTAGCGAGAACAGTAATGGATGTCGACAGAAATGCATAAGAAAATCGCGATTATCATCGCCAGTCAGTGCAAAAAAAAAAGGGAAACATAAATTCAGCTGTCGGATTTAGTAACCAATTCCAACTACACTAACTAGGATGAGCATTGGGATCAACTACAACATACTAGGTCAGTACTACCTAACTATCTGATGCTCTAGCCCTAACGGACTTCCCGTCCGCCAAGCTTTTCAGTTGCATTCCAACACTATATAGCAATCCCCATAGCCCTTGCATTGCCCGAATTCCATCCCACTAAGCAGAGCCTTGACAGCTGTCATATCGCGAGAGAAACCTGAGCCCAGCTTCACAATAACATGAACATGGTACCATTGAGATAGCAGCAAGAATGATGAAATGACGTGCTAAGCATGAGTACATTACTCCATGGCTCTAAGATCGGGTCTTGAGTTTTATGAACATAATGGAAATCTAATGTGTTGTAACTTCAAGGGGTTTTCTGTAGTACATTTCTGATTTAAGCTACACCACTTGAGTAGGCTAACTTGGGAATATATTGATAAAGGATTACAATATAGGACCTCCCTTGGACGCGACCTAGCCTGCGCAACAAACCGATGCGATAAAACCTGAGAGTTCAAGCTAGAATGCTGTTTGAAGGGGCATTATCTTGTCTACTGCGTATTCCTACCTACGTGTTGCTTTCATTCCTGTACTTTTGAGTGTTATTATGCTGTAGAATTCCGGTGGCTTTTGTTCGATCTCGTAACGATCTTCTAATTTAACGACTCGATGGCAATTCTTCTCTATAGCTCATTCGAATATACACAAACAGCCGATATAAAAGCAGCTCATTACGATTGTTTATATTGATAACACGTGCCAAACAGGTCCGATGTTCGGGTGTTTGCGTAGAAATAGAATGCGATATCCTCTATAAGGCGATCATCCAATTTGATACTCTTAGAGAAAATGGGATACTCGCCCCTTACGTAGCCGCATACTCTACTCTATGGTATTCTCCTTGGTCACAAAAAAGCCCTATACAGCTAGGGTAAGCTATTGGGAGCATGGTTGATAGTCGTGGAAGATCAATTTGATTCAAGGACTTGCTCTGAAAAATCTGGAGATATTTAAACAGTAGCAAATTCCCGTAGTATCCCGCGGCGAATCAATTTCCTTACGACATCGAATTTGTGGCAACAGAACAACAGAAGCCATGTTGCGAAAACTATTCACATCCGCCCTCCTCTTTGCTGCCCTGAGCAATGGACAGACGGCTCCTGACCTCGGGACCGCGGAGACTTTTGCTGTCCTCGGTGGCTCAACTGTGACAAATACGGGCCCAACAACGATCACTGGTGATCTGGGAGTCTCGCCTGGGACTGCTATCACGGGTTCCGGCCAAATTACGATCATTGGATCCGTACACCAAGCTGATGCAGTCGCAAGTCAAGCACAGACCGATCTGACAACTGCATATAACAATGCGGCTGGCCAGGGACCGGCTACTGTAATCGCGACGGAACTCGGCGGCCAGACATTGATTGGTGGTGTATATAGTAGCCCAACATTCGGGCTTACCGGCACCCTCACGCTTGACGCTCAGGGGAATCCGGATGCAGTTTGGATCTTCCAAATGACATCCACCCTTATCACTGCCACCGACTCCAATGTTGTTCTGGCCAATGGTGCTAACCCTTGCAATGTCTTCTGGAAAGTGGGAACCTCGGCAACCTTGGGAACAAGGACGGCTTTCATCGGAACCATCATGGCAGATCAGTCTATCACGTTGAATACCGGCGCAACGATCAACGGACGGGCTCTGGCCCGCATTGGGGCAGTGACAATGGACACCAATACTATCACCAATGCGGCTTGCGTGACACCACCCACAACGAGCACTACCGTGTCGCCTACGACAACCACCACGACGACGACGACGACGTCGACTACTACGACAACTACCACTACCACCACTACCACGCCGACGACTACAACGACAACCACCACCACGCCGACTACTACAACGACAACCACCACTACGCCAACCACTACAACGACAACTACCACCACTACCACGCCGACTACTACAACGACAACCACCACTACGCCAACTACTACAACGACAACTACCACCACTACCACGCCGACGACTACAACGACAACCACCACCACACCGACTACTACAACGACAACCACCACTACGCCAACTACTACAACAACAACCACCACTACGGCGTCTACCACGACAACTACTGGCACCACCACCACTACCACCACAACATCATCTACCACCACGTCATCGTCATCCACCACGACGACAACCACAACAACGGGGACCACCACAACGGGGACCACCACCACAGGAACCACCACAACGGGAACCACAACAACGGGGACCACCACAACAGGAACCACTACAACAGGAACCACTACAACGGGGACCACAACAACGGGGACCACAACGAAAACTACCAAAACGAAAACTACCAAAACGTGGTCTACCACAACGCCATCCAGCACAACGCTGTGTACCACCACTCCTACCACAACCATATGTACCACTACGGTATGGACAACCACGACGTTGACGCCATGTACAACCCCGACGTCGACAACATGTTCAACCTCGCCGTGGACAACCTGGCCAACAAGCATGCAAAACCCCCACAACCAAGGCTGGGAAGAACATGACAGCAAAGACTACAACCAAGGCTGGGACAATTACGACGACAAAAACTACGACCAAGGCTGGGAAAATGACGACAGCAAAGACTACGACCAAGACTGGGAAGACTACATCCAAGCCAATACCCAAGGCTGGACAGAAGACGACAGCGCGTATTAAGCCGACCTTTGAGAAGGGTCTTCTGATGGGAGATTAGATGGGTTCAGATTTATAATTTTTGGGAAATTGTTAAATGGGAATCACTCAGGATGTTGTTACATCCAAGAAAAGTAATACGAGGGATAGGCGTTGTTGGCGTTAGTTTACGAAATCAAACCGGCGCCGGAACAGGAGGTAATTGCTTAATATGTATCGAATACTCATGTTTTAATAATATCTTAGTCCACTTGCTATCCTTTTCAATCAATTGTCAACAATATATTCTGGTTCCTACAACATACGTCATGATCTACTTCCCCGCAAAATATGGGGTAAACCAGGTGATCTATTGTATGACCACAAAGTATCAGCCCACCCTCGGTATCCATCACTTGCCTTTTCTCATCTCTTTCCTTCCTAAACTTCCCTCCTCTTCTTTACATCTCTCACATCTCACATCTCCCACCATGACAAAAGGATTCGCAACCATCACCCCCGAATGCGAGGAAGTATTCGACGAGGTCAAAGGCACCGACAACTTAAACTACGTCATCTACTCAGCCTCTGCACACGACAAGAAGATCACTGTCGCTGAGTCCGGCAAATACAAGGACTACGCCGAGTTTCTCTCTCACTTCAAGGATAACGTTCCCCTATACGCCGTCGTAGACTTCCTTTACGACTCTCCCGCCGGTGATGGCCAGCGAAGCAAGCTAGTCTTTATCACGTGGTATGTATAGACACCTTGGAGCACATTACTCTGATCTTTACAATTGTCGAAGGGTCCATGATACTAACTGTTGAATTGCATGTAGGGTGCCCGAGGCCGCAAGCATTCATGATAAATCCTACTACACGTCCAACAAAGATCACCTCTTCTACGCCCTCCAGGATATCAGTCTCCATGTCCTGGCACATTCACGGGTAGATCTAGACCATGCTGCAAGTATGTATTCTCTGTACCCGTGAAGCGTTGACTTCATGGCTAGCATGATCGTACTCGGAACTGACTTTTTTTTCTTTACTTAGTCCTGGGGAAGTTCAAGGCTCTCTAGAGGGGCCTTTAATCTTCTTCCTGAACCTGGAAACCGCTGTGTGAAAGACGATTCACAGATCATGCATGGCCTGGCTATGCTGTTCTAGACACATATTTCGTATTATAATATTTCTTACATATTTCCAATCGTCCACCTCTACCACCTGTACCACCTGTACTACAGTAGGAAAAGCATATACGGAATATAGGACTTTTCTAAATGACGGGATAAACGTCTTTAATTTCAGATTTATTGTATCAAATACCCGGTTCTTCCCCAGGATATTAACCCCGCTAATGCATAGAAAACAGAAGCAAAAAGCGCACTAGGTGTGGTCAATGGTCAAAAGAGAGTCAATGACATGTACGATAGATTGCTTGTAGCTCGATTCTTTCAAAAAAGATCAACCCGCTAAATCATGGATAAACAGAATACAGATCGAGAACTGGACTGCCAGAACAGTTATGGTGTGACAAGGAACCACAAGAGTAACGTTGCTGGCATGCACGGTAGATTGCTCATAGTCATAATCATAAGACGCCAGATAAATGAGCATGGAGGTAGTCATGACACATAGAGAAAACGAGATCTCTGAGATAGAGCGTAAACATTTTTCATAATCGCTTAGCGACGGAAGAACGGGGCTTGATTCGACGAGAGAAGCGAATCAGCACGCTGGAATACATCGCCGTCGAAGAATCTGTCACTGTATGCACTGGCCGGCGTGGACGGGACAGTGGCCTGCGCAGCGGGGCCGAGCGCTGCACTCAGCGGAGTGGCAGGTACGGTGACAGATTGAGGGGGCGACATCATATTGAGTTGGAAAGAGGGGTTGTTGGTGAGGGCGGATGTTGAGACGGATGTTTGATGGTGCTGCAGGTGTGAGGCCTGTAGCAGAGGGCCGTACAAGGCACTAGGAGGGGGGTGGCGGTCCGGGTCTGTAAGATAGGCCCAAGGAGATACCTCGATCAGGCGGCCTGCTTCCCGGCTTGCTTTTTGGACTGGGCGTAGGAGGATGACGACCTCGGCAGGTAAAAGCTGCATACCTCTCAACTCACGCATCTCGTTCACCAGGTCGACGAAGGACTGCATGAATGATTTGCATAGCTGCCAGAACTCGCGCTGGTTGCGGAGCCCACCACCAGGTTCTTTGATTTTCATGGTCGACAGACGCTGTCCTAGGGCATCTGAAACTTCCAGGCAAAACTGACATCGACGGATGAGGTTGTTCCAGAGGATTTGGATTCCCTCTGAATCGCGTGAGTGTTGAGCGGCTTCTAGACACCTTATGAATTGCCGACGGGCCAATGGAAGTGCACCGTATGCAGCATGATATGTAGCGGTCAGCTGGTGGAAGATCTTTTCGAATATTCGCTCCTCTTCGTTTTCATCCAGTCCAGTCAGTGTGTTGAACCGGGGAGCTCCGGAAACAGGCATAGGAGGGAAAGTTTCGCCTGAGCGAGGGATTGCCAGGGAATGTGGCACAGATGTGTTGATCATGTTTGATCTGCTGCTCGAGCGACTGCGTGCGTACGACGTGGAGAAACCAGGAGAGCTAATGCTAGTCTGATTAGAAGTCATAGTCATGGGGTACTGGGGGTGTCGAATTGTCGTATCGCTTCGCAATCGTCGTGTGGGCGGGCCAGGATCTCTTGTTGGAGTGACCAGCGAAAGTTGAGATCGGTCTGGGACAGAGGGGAGTGGGTTACTTGGGCCAACCAAGTGTCTTGTAGCAGAGCCATGTCTGTTGATGGTCTGTAGCGGAACTTTGAGAATAGCGCAAGCATTCCGTAGCTCCGCCAGGCTGCCAAACATCGTCAGCATCAGCGATCGTACATAGCACGGATCGCCATTGGAAACTATCTTGGCGACATTGTTGCGTAGCTGCGTGCCGACGTGAATGTAGGCGGTGATGCACGTCTCGCATTCACGTTTAACCGTTTCGGTGACCGATGACATTGACTCTGGGTCATTGCACAAAGTATCTGACGCTTTCTCAAGAGCATCGTTCAGATGGTCAACGTGTGAGGAAGCATTGTAAAAGACAAGCTCGAGACTGTGCCGTCTGGTGTCATCATGCTTGATCACGTTGATCAATGTATCGATGTGGGAATGAACTTGAGCAAGGGCAAACAGAATAACTTTTGCACTCTTGATTATCGGTTCATCGGATCCATGTTCACCCTTGTGTTCAGGTAGACTGGACATCCGATTAACCCAACCATCTCGCGGACGCCGACGCTCTCTTGGGCTGGTGGGACTTGGGGGAGTATTGTCATTTGTGGCTATTGGCGGTGTAGGCTGACGCGGTCGAAGCACAGATCCATGACTGAGACCTCGTAGATGGCTGTTTCGATATGGGAGCGTTTCATCCAACGTACCCAAATCGGTATTCTTGCGACTGATTAGTCCCATTCTTTTGCTACGAGCAACAGATGACCCTTGAATTATGCCCTCACTGTTGCTCCGGTTGCGCTCGTTACCAGGATAAGGCGCTACGCCAGGCCTTTGGAGACCAGGCATGTGATAAGTAGCGCCTTGTTGTCCAGAGGCCATGCGATAGTGTGATTTTAATGGAATCGGCGGTGCCCGAGATATTGATGGAGAGCGAGACGAGCTTGCTGAGCTATCACCAGTGCTGGGAATTACTGGAAACCGACCACTCAAATTCCGCTTTGAAGGTATCGGCGTTGGTGCCGGTTTAGCCTCAAAAGTACCATCACTGCGTTAACACCGAGTGTTAGCTTATATCCACCTCAGGACCGTAAGATGAACAAACCCTGTATCAGGAATGATTTCTGGCTCGGGTGTGCTCGTCTGTTGTCGCGTTTTCATAAGAAATCTCTTGAGTTTGGTCGTGGCCGCAACTTCTTTCTCGTTGTCGGTCATCCCGGATTGTGTCGTCTCATTTTCGGTTTCCTCTAGAATTTCACGCAGTGGCTTTCGTAGAGGATTCCCGACACACTTGAAAATTTGAAGCTTATGCATCTCGGAGAGGCCAGCTGGGAGGTCGATGAGGCGGTTTTGCATGACTGACAGAACTCGCAATGACTTCAATTTGCTGATCTCATTTGGTAACTCCTTGATTTTATTTCGGCTCAAATCAAGAATTTCGAGTAATGGTAGTTTGTAAACCTAGCAAGCAGGATTAGCGCCATGCAAGCATAAAGCAAACTTATCATTACATACTCCTTTTGGGAATTCGCGGAAGTTGTTCGATCTGATATTGAGATAGCGTAGGTGTGAGCACTCTGCAAAGCGATAGGGGATATGGAAAAGTTGATTGTTCGACAGAGACAGCCTTCATAGTAATCAGTATACAGTCCAGAACAGTGATACCGTATCCTAGAAACAGGCAAAACAAGACTTGACTATAACAGTTCAAAGCAAGGCTCCAACGTACCGTTCGACCTCATCTTTGATCAAGTCAACAACTGGTTCAGGGATCCTGGCGATGTGTGAATGACCAAGGTCAATGGTCAGCTTAGGCTTGACTACATCTGTGACGGCCTCGCTGCCTGCCAGGGAACGCTTAGTATCTTGAATACCACTTTCAACAGCACGTCGTGCTAGATCAATGGTTTCCTCCGGGCTAAGTGTTTTTGACCCAGTCGGTTGTTTGCTAGTGCTCTCCGAGGCATCTCCTAAAGCAGTACCCTCGTCAGGATACGGAGAGTCATCGCGTGAAGACGCGAGAAAGCCAGACTCCGGTGTTCCATTTTCCATTTCATCTTCGTCTGTCTCGCCGCGGTTCAAGCGCTGCCCACGTATTGCGTCCTCGGGACGAGTCATGGTGGGTGTCATGGCCGATAAAAGCCCGAATGTTGTCG